AGTTTGCATTTGGGTGGTGCATTTGTTACAATTGATGAAGGCATATTGATAAAATATGATTAAGTTTTGTCGTTTACATCAGGATTCACTCTTTGTTTTGTACAGTTCTGTGGATTTTGACAAATGTATAATGTCTTTTTTTTTAAAAAAATATACCTTTATTGATTTTCAGAGAGAGGAAAGGAGAGGGAGAGAGAGATAGGTACATCAATGATGAGTCATTGATCGAGCCCACAACCCGGGCATGTGCCCTGATCAGGAATCGAACCCTGATTGCCTGGATCCTAGGTCACGCTCAACTGCTGAGCCATGCCTGGCCGGGCAATGTATAATGTCTTGTATCTGCCATTACAGTATCACATAGAATAGTTGCACTTTCCCCAAAATACCCGGTGCTCCACCTATTTATCCTTCCCTCCCTTCCCCACACCCCTGCAACCAATGATGTTTGTTTTTTGTTTCTGTTTTTGTGTTAACCCTCACCTGAGGATATTTTTCCATGGATTTTAGATAGAATGAAAGGGAGGGATAAAGGAGAGGAAGTGGGGTGGGGAGAGAGAGAGTCCACACATTGATTGGTTGCCTCCTGCAAGCACCCCGACCAGGGCTGGGGACCAAACCCAAGACCCTTCGGTGTGAGGGCCAGTGCTCTAACCATTGAACAACACTGTCCAGGACGACCACTGATGTTTTACTGTCTATAGTTCTGCCTTTTCCAGAATGTCATAATTGGAATCTTTCAGTATATAGCCGCAGGTATGTGCCCTGACTGGGAATTGAACCTGCCATGTTTTGGTGTACGGGACAATGCTCCAACCAACTGAGCCACCTGGCCAGGGCTCACTGTTTGCTTCTTGTATGTGCTCTGACTGGAGATCAAACCCAGAACCTTGGTGTATTGGAATGATTCTCTAATCAACTGAGCTACCCAGCCAGGGCTGTATTCTTTTTTGTTTTGCTTTGTTTTAAATTTGTTTTATTGTGTTTTACATCTTTTTTTCCTCTTTTTTTTTTTTTTTTAGTTTAATTTTTATTAACCCATCTTCAGGTTTACTTTAACTTTGCCACCCCCTATTTAGGAGCATTGTAATTTATATTCTGTGCTTGAGATTTTTCTGGTCCTTGTATTAAGTTGATTTTGAACTATAATTCATGAGAAAATTCCAGTTTATTGTTACACGTTCTTAGGGACATTTTTGCTTTTTCAATTTCTTCTCTTTTACTCAGACGAGAGGTAAGTTTATTTTTTCTTCACTCTTAGATTGAAGGTGGAACCCTTTGGGAACCTGGCTTTAATTTAGAATTCTAATATCATCCTTACTTTGGATTGCCCCTAGATTGTATCTCATGTTTTACATCCTGTTTCTGTGCCAGTGTGGATGGTCAAGGTCTCTAGAATTCAGCAGAAACTCTCAGGGCTTTCTCAAGAAGGGGAATTTATTGCTTTCTTACCTTCCAGAATTCATGATTTCACTATGTTTTGGGCCTTTGTAGAATCTTCATCGTGTTTTTTCAGCAGAATGTTTAAAAATGAATTTTTTTGGCTTTGTTTTTAATCAGAACGAGTGTTCAGGGTATCTACCCTGCATTTTGCCATAAACAGAAGTTTTTACTCATTCAGTGCCCCAGAGTATGGATGTACCATAATTTAATTGCTTCCTCACTAAGGGATTTCCCTCCCTCCCTCTTGCTAAAATATTATGAAGTAAAATTTTTTTCCATGTAGAACTTTGTGCACATGCAAGTAGTTTTCATTGCCACTGGAATGAGGCAAAGAAGCAAGATAAGTTCATTCTTCAACTTTTTCTGTGTCACTTAATTTGTGGATGCCCTAAGGACTATTAGAACATGTTTTCAGATTCCTCTGTAGATTTCCTACCCAAATAGAATGCATTATCATAAGCCTTTTGTTGTCTCTGAATAGTGTATGTCTAGGTGACCATACTGCAGAAGGGTACCCAAAAGACTGTCTTTGCCACTGATCCTGGATTGTGTTTTGGGTACATGGACATAGTAGAAGTCACATACCAATCTGCAAGGCAATTCAGAATACAGCCTCTGATGTTTCTCAAGCAAAACCAAAGGCCGTCATAAAATTATGTTTTTTGGGTGGCATAATTGCAAATAAATGAGAAAATGAAATAGCAGGCTACAAACTCATGAGGGTTGACAGTGCAGGGCCAGATGGCATTGATTTCCAATGTAGAGGCCTTTTACAAAGCATTGACTCTAGTCTAGATTATGTCTTTCTGTGCATGTTATTTGTCATATAAAATAATTTCCCTCTTCATGGTTTATTTTTCCTTTGTAGCACATTCTGAATTCCAGAATTTTTTATCTGCCATTTGGCTTTCCATAAACTATCAGGCAGGATCTCGGTGAGATTCTCTGCTTTGAGAAACTGTGTACATAATATTTATTTATGACTCATAATTGCATTGTCATGATATATCCCTTATCCTCAAACGGCATCCCATAATTCAGTGCCTTTTTAACAATAGACAAGGTGTTTTCTAAAGACTTTTTTCAGAAATCCAAATATTTCTTGGGGCCCTTTCCAATCTCTATACCATATATCTTTGGCATTTTAAAATTTAAGGCCTGAACCAAATTCCCCATAGTGAAAATTCAAACTTTTTTGTTTGAATTTTGACTATGTAACTACTCTTTAAGGTAGACATTTGAGTTTACTCAATACTTATCCGTGTTTAAAACTTCCATGTCTCGCATTTCCTTAGGCTTCTAGTAGATTTACCAGTCTTGGTGACATCTCTCTGGCCTTTGAGGTTGGCACAGTCCAATATAGATACCTTGTGGGGAGAGGGGGTGGCCATGGAAAAACATGTTTTTGTTGTTGAGTGTTCTTGCTTTCTAGTAATTTTATTTTCTGCTGAAGGGATTTAGTATCTGTTCAGATAATTTATTTTTAAAGGTCACATAAGTAATGACCTGACCTCTAATCTTAGCTTTGAAAATTTCCCAGACACTAATAAAGATAATGTCTGATGACCTATTATTTGAGACTACTACTCACAGGCCAGCAATCAGTGCTATTTTAAAATGTATATTTTATTCTAAAAATGATCTCCATGGCTAAAATACTTTCTTTGAAAAATTATGCATGTAATAACATTATTTGGTGACTCTTGGGCCTAGATTTATAATACTTTTTATGTGGTGTCACTGAGACAGTATAGTTCTAAACAACTCTTCTCCTCAAATACTGTACCAAATACTGATGCTCTTCAACTTAAGATGGGATTATGTCCCAATGAACTCATTGTAAGTTGAAAATATCGTAAGTTGAAAATGCATTTAATAAATCTAACCTACTAAACGTCATAGCTTAGCCCGATGTATCTTAAACGTGCTTAGAACACTTACATCAGCCTACAGCTGGGCAAAGTCATCTAACACATGGTCTGTTTTATAATAAAGTGTTGAATATCTCATGTAATTTATTATGTGTATTGCTTTTATGCCATTGTAAAGTCGAAACATCATAAGTCAAACCATCATAAGTCTGTAATTATTTCTGAGAAAAATGTTCTGTAGACCATAATCTTAATAAAAAATAGCACCTTGTCTCTTGGACTAATAATAACGCTTGGACACAGGGTTATAGAGTAATCCTTATTTTGCATGAATATATCAGTAAGATTTTTATAAAGGATCAAGTTACTACTGAAGACTAGTATGATCATTTAAATTATTTGGACTGTCTACCTCAGGACACAGGCTTAATAATTAGTGGAGTGAAAGAGAAGTTCATCAGACCGTATTGATAATATGTGTGCCAAGGTGTATTCATGAAGTAGAGGGGGGGGGGAAGCAGTTTCCTCCCAGGTGTCTAGGCAAAGCAAGAGTTGTCCTTTTTGGTCTGTTTTTACTTGTCCTATATCTGTAATAACAGACCCTCTTGCTAAGAACCTGTTGAGTACAACGCTGTTTTTGTGAGGTTGGTAGAGGAAACTGCATATTGCTGCCTCAATATGTTTTCTTGTTTGGCTTTTTGTTAAGCGATGATGTGTAGTTCTTTGTTAGAAACTCTAAGTTATGTACAGAGAGAAGAAACAGTTCACTTTATTAATTGTAATCTTTAATTGGGTTGGACAGTCCTGAAAGAGATTTGAGTAATTGAGGTTTTCCCTTGGTACCAGTGGACGGGAAATATTTCAGTTCACTTAATTGGGCTATAAAATAGTTTGTTCTTTCTTCCCCTACAGCAAGAATTATGAACATAAAGTCACAAAACAGTGTTAATTTTTAAAGCTTCCCCGTATTTCCACCCTCCTCAGTTGTAAGTAATAAGCCTGACTGTAAAATGGGAAAGTTGAAATTTCCCCCTTGCGCATCTTGAGCTTTTCAGAGGCATTGTACACTCTGGGAATGACAGTGAAAGATGCTGGGCTTTCCACAGCGCTTTCTGTGTGAGGGACCCATACAAACACTAATGCATTGATCCTAACACAGTACCGGATTGTGACTTTAAAAGGTCATGAGTTACTGTGTTACCAAAAAAGTAAATAAATAAAAGGAGATCGGAGGGAGAGCTCTAATTTATAAATATTGTTTAAACAATATCTGGATAAAAGTTGATACAGATAACTGGAAAAATAAAAAAATTGTGGGGGATTTTTATTGTTTGTTAACTTTTCTCTTAGCCTGTAATAGATTTTTATCCCTTTATTTTTCCCCCCTTTTATCTATGCATTTACTTGAAGCCCGAGTCCCTTCTTAGATATGAAGGTAGGATTTACTTTTAAGCTTTTATTCCTTCTCTGCCAAGAAGGCTTAAACCTGTGGTGATTTTTGGAGTTTGTCGCAGTAACGTAACAGTGCATATTATTATATGCAAGTCAAATAATCGTACACTCGTGAAATGACTTGCGAAATGATTCCTTTAGCTCCCTTGGTTTAATATTTGTGGAATATAGCTGTTGATTTTGATGAATAAAGTGGTCATGTGGCTTAATCTTCAACTTTTTTGTGTTTTGTAGGTTTATTCTTCAGTCCAAGGAGGTAATTCATAATCAGCTGTTAGAGAAACAGAAAATTGCAGAAGAAAAAATTAAAGAATTGGAAGTAAGTTTTGAGTGAATATTGACAGTAAGTAGTCAACTTTTAGGAAAAAGGGAATTATGTCATTGTGTCATATTAAAGGAAAGTGGATGCCTGCTAAGGTCATGTCATTATTACTTTCATTTTTCTGATCGTGGTGGAGCTATGAAGTGATCAAATGAATGGCGGGTGTATAAGACACAAAGAAGTCTCTTGAAACTGGGGATTTCTGAAGATAGGATGCTATTATCCTGAGTACATTTTCTCCCTTTCCTTTGAATGAATATGTCTGTTTTAAGAAACAAAAATAAAAACAAACATATATTTAAACACTTCATATTGTGGTGGTAGGGCATGAGCATGGGTAATGATAATAGTAGTTAAAGGATCTTGATATGTCTCTTTTATGCATTGTTATTACTTTAACCTAGATTGGGTGTCTGGACGAGGACCAAGTATTAAGCTATAATTAATTAACTGAAGGATGGTGCTCCTATGAGGAAAACAAATTATTATTATATTTTTTAAGATAGGGAAAAAGATTAGTATGGGTAAAAGTAACTTAGTAAATCTTTGGAAAATTGGAGTTTATTATTACAATGTCGTTATACATTAGGACTTTTGATGAGATACTCTTCTTGGGCTTTGGTGAAAGGTGCATTCTTTATATAGTAAAAGTTGGACTGGACAAAAAACTGGTTATTATTTCTTTGGGAACAAGATTTCCTGATACGGGGTGGGTACAATGACTTCATAGGTCACTTTATCTAATTTGTGTGAGTACTATTTGAGGCAGTGGTTCAGAATCTGACTCAGCTCTCTGCTGAATTGGTGAGACACCCCCTAGCCTTCTGGGGATTTCTCAGGGGCACTGACTTGGTATGGCCTTGGGTGAGCATGTAGTGTCTTAGGTTACTTAGGCTGATTTTTGTTTGACTATTGATGATAATTTAAACAAACTTGATAATAGATTTGTAGTTTAGAAAGGTGTATTGTAAAAACAAAACAAATAAGCAAACAAACAAAACAAAAAAAAACTGTTATCCTGTAGTAATCAGGTTGTTATCATGTCCAATTTTATCACTTTTGTCAGCCCAACTGTTCTAGGTTGAATTTCATATTCTCTAGTGTTTTCAAACAAAAGTATCTTAACTCCAGTCACATCTGTTTCATGTAGATAACAAAAAATGAGATTTTGTAACTGTAGCTAAATATATCTAAAAATTGCCCTGATGAATAATAATGTGTATTATTCATTTGCAAGATGCAAAATATTGTATATATAATTTTCTTATAATCTCTGTGTTGGATAAATTGTTACAAGTATGTGTTGACTTTTATAATTAAAAAAATTATCAAATAAAATTGCCAGGGATGATGATTTTAGCATACTATTCAGTTCTGACAAGTATTAGGAAATTTGCTTTCTAAAAGTTTCTTTTCATAGAATCTCAAATACAATACTTGTTAAGTATCCTGATATCTGTCAGATAATAGATGTAGATTAGCTAGCTTATTGGTACCTGTTTGAAATGCTAATTATAGCTACAAAAACTAGTAGAGTTAAACTCTAGCCTCTACCCTAGGAAGTTCTTTTGTTCTTTTTTCTTTTTAATCTTTCATTTTACTGTTATTTAGATTATAAAACCATTATAAGTGCATTATTAAAAAAAAAGTCAAAAAATAAAACATGATAAAATGAAAATACAACCTTCCTCTCTTCCCTGCACACCATATGTCACCTCTGCAGTGGTGTGTATTATTCCAAACTTTCCTTTATTTTATAAACACATTCATACACATATACACATTTAAAAAAAATGAGTAATTATTCTGTATATACTCTTCATCATTTGATAACTTTCCACTTTAGTAATGTAAACCTAGTTTATGTTTAATTTTTTGCTTTCCATTTCTCCTACCATTGTATATTTATTACCTCAACATTCAATTATTGTATGATCCCTACCTCTACATTTAGTATATTCTCCAATACTGCCCTAACCTGTATTGTTATAGTTTCACCCACTACATACTCTGTCTCCCCCGAAGCAATCCTGTACTTTTCCACTGCTATACCTTTATAGCTTTGTTACTTAACCCTGAAATATATGCATATGTACACACCCACATGTGCACTTATACACACAAACATTGATAATTGTAGTGTTCAGATTTTCTTCCTAGTTTTTTTCTGCTTATTTAGTTATTGAGAGAGATGTATGAAATCTCTGTGATGGTGTTTATCAATTCCTCCTTAGTCTTTCAGTTTAGTGGGCAGTGGTATTTAGACACTACTACCTGGGTGCTGTAAGTGCTCATTATTACTGTACACATAGTTCAAAGGATATGTTTCATTTTGCTTTATATGTTCAGGAATTTCTCAGCTTTTTAAGAGATAACATTCCTCTGACTTCTATTGTTGCTAATGAGAAGTTATCTGTCTAAGTGTTGTTCCCGTGGT